TCAGCCTCTCGTTGTATGACAACCCCTCCATCCCAAGCACCATTCTAGTAAGCCTTCTCTGAACCTTTTCTGCCTTATTAGTACTGTTTTTAACTTCCTGAAAGTCATCATTAACTACTATATCCTTTACATGCAAGAGCTGAAGTTTCTCTTGAAGTTCTGCTGCCATTTATCATAGTTTATCCTCCTCTTTTGTCTGTTACCTTTACTTAAGTTAGTCTCAAATTTCTCCTCCAACCTGCAAAATCTACATATAAATTGTACATCTTCAGTACTAGCTTCCTCAAAAGTGCATGCCAGTTCCAAATTCCCAAATAAAACCCACTTCTTGCACCTTAAACACTTAGGGCTTAACACCTACACTACTCTTAACCATTGTAGTCTGGGAACAATCAACACTGAATACAAATAGTCTATTGGCAACACTGTTAAGCCTAACATTATAGTCAAATATATTGCACTACCTTATCACTACCTTCTTCTCACTGAAGTTATTACATTTATCTTTAAAACAAGAAGTGATAAATAACTGGTCTTTAGATGATATTTATGAAGTAATACAATATATTTAGCCTGTTTTGTTAATGAGGTTTCTCCTCTAATTGTCCCTAGTTGAAAATATCCTGTAACAGGACCCTATTTCAACTTCTCTCATAGGTGCTGTTGACAACCAGTTTGTTTCTACCTAGACTGTTACATATCTCCAGAAGGTTTCTAACAACTATGGCATCTAGTACTGAAGGAGACTACCAGTACACTCCAGGTCTTCATTCTGTGTCATATGTTACAGCTCCAGATGAAGAAACAGCTAAAAAATTGGCAGAGTAAGGTTTTTTGGGAAAACTCTTGATGATCAAAATAATGATGTGATGTATTGTTTACTAAGGATTGCTTGTAATTTATCATGCTGTTAACACCATCTCTTTTACACTTTAAAACTTGTTTTAATTTTGTTTTAAGTATTGTATGATTTTAAAGTTTTTACATTTATTGTTAAAGGACTAATTCTTACTCACATGTATCCAAAAACATTCAGGGTTTCTTGGTAAGCTATAACATTTATTTGGTGAAATAGATTTGATGCTGTATGTTTTTAAAATACACACCACTTATTGACAATGAAACTAATGAAATAATTTTAATGATTAGGTGTAGCGCTAGAGCCCAAAATAATTGTTCAGTGTTTGAACCTAGATTGTGGTATTAATCCCATATTACCCTAAAGTGTACACAAGTTTAAAGGTATATTACATGTAAATCAGAATTTTAGTAAGTGTAGATAATTGTCTTTTTGCAAAGCTGTGATACTATTTATATTATTTTGTGACAACTGTGCATAAAGAATGACCCATTTCATTGATTTTTGTAATTATTTGACAAATTATCTAAGTTTCTTGTAAATATTTAATACTGTAAACAATCAGATTTTAAAATTATAACATGCAATGAAATGTATTTATCTGTTAAGATGATCAAGTTTCTGAACCAGGAAGAAAAGACGTTCTGTTACTTCTCTACATGTAAGCTTTCACATCACTATATATATATATACATATATAACACATTAACGTAAAGACATACTTACTCTCTGCACACACTAACCACCAAACAGGATATTTCACAAGTTAACAAACCCCATTTTAAATACCCTGAGAATATCAAACTTTGTACATGTAATTTCCTTCAATGAAAACTTGGCAATATTTTGATACATAATTCCTGATTGAAGAAGTTTTTACTTCATTACTTATTATTCTTTCAGAAATATCACTGGAAATTCTGTGTGTGAAATATTTAAAGTTTTTGTCAACTGTCAGTATGAACATAATACATGTATTATTTATCCACATCAATAATATATGTTTGAGCAACTTTTTGGCATTACGCTGTAGTTTGTTGTATTTCAATGTGATGGCAGTGTTCACTTTAATGTTGTAAATGGTGTCTCAGAAGCTACTACATTTTAAATCAGCAAAACAAAATGAGAGAAATTACATTTATTAGCATGTGGCTGAGTACAGTTATTGTAGTTGCTAATTCTGATGTATACAAACCAGAATCGGTAAATGTTTATATAGAGATTTTGAATTTTTGTACACTAATTTATTACTTTATTTAACTGCACCTTTTACAATGATCAATGGCATTTTGTGATGGATTAGGTTAATGAAGCTGATCTGACTGTACTTTTAAGATGGAAACCTAGTAAACAACCAATATTCTTTAGAAATTTACAAAATATTAGCAAGGCTAAACCCTCAAACATATAACTTTCTATAATGTCCATCATGCTTGAACCTACAATATACATTATAACTTATCAGACTAAGACAACACAACCCACCAACTGTTAACCAACAAACACTCACAATACAGTCCATCTGTCCTCAAATCAATAATATACAAAGCCAAATCAAAGTTTACAGTAGATAGACAACTTTCCATTTTGGCAATAAAGTTAGAAAAATCATCCTTTACTCTCCAGATAATAATAAAAGAACTTTTTATTCCTACTAACTTTTTGTCATTGCAGTTTCGTCATAAAAACAATTAGGGATCAATATATACATAATCTATCTAGCTATAGTGAGATAGAAAGTTGTAATACTACAAAAAGTATTGAAACAAGAAAGTCAAAACCAGAAAAACTAGTTACTTAAAATAAAATACAAATTATCCCTACTTTGGCTCAGACTAACAAAATTACAAAAGTAGGGATAGTTGTGATGAAGCTTCAATGGTGAAATATTAGCAGAAATGAAAAGTTAATTTATTATTATCTTGGAATAAAGGTCAAGTTTTCTAACTTTTTTTTGCCAAAATGTCTAAATCTATCCAATATGCACTACAAATTCTGAATGACAACTTTCTGCCCTGACTGTCGTAATGTATATTAGATACTAAAGAAGAAAGTTCATGGGGAAGAAGTATTTATGTACATTATAAGTAAGCATTGTAGGGTGAGATATGGTTCTAGGACTGTGTTTAACCGTTAATAAATCCACAAAGAAGAATTAACTTTTTTTTTTTTTTTGTAGAGGACTTGTAAAAAACAAATTGGCTGCTTGTGTCAATATTATTCCCAGTATATTTTCAGTGTAAGTAAATATCCATTACTTAATATAACTAAATATCTACCTGTTTATTAATGCAACTAGAAGTAACATTGTTTTATTTTAAACACAATTAAATAAATATAAGCATATAAATAAAGTACTGATCTTGCTATCCTACTATAATGAGTTTTTTTCATCATATTAAAAATAAGTTTTAATTTGTGAAAAACTTTATAGAGAAAACAGTGAAATATCATAGATTCAAGTCATTTAACATGTGCTTTACAGCTTTAATTAAGTATTATCTGAAATATAGATGCAGGAATTGTAAGCACTCAACTCCTCTTTGAGTGCATAATTTCTATTCCAACTGAGTTTAGGATATTACATGTGATTTATATAGTAAGAACACATGCTGATTTAGTTCAAGCTGTAAACTTCTTGATTATTTAAGTTTCTTTTTATCAATAACTAAATAGAACAAAGTAACATTGCATGCGTCAACTTTCTCTCCTCTTGAAACCAAAATACTTCAGGGATTTTGTCATTCATGTTAAAAAAGAAGATTTTTTTAATATACATTTGAGATTTAAATCTCAATGTAAAATTGATTTCAGGATTCTATGGTTAAAAAGTTTTAACTTTGTAAAAATTATACAAGTGGGTTTTGTACACATATTTTTAAAAATCATAATTTATTGGGTATGTGTAAAACATTAATATTATGGTGTTTTTTAGTGAACTTAAAAGTTTTAGCAATTTCAGTTTTCAGAATTAAATTATTCCAGGACTAAGTCATATATGTTACAAACTTAACACATCTGTGAAACAAAAGAAGACATGAAAAAAAAAAAAGCTGCTTTGATTGGTGCACTTTGCTAAATTATCAAACCATTATTCATTGAAATGAGTATTACATCCGTTTTAGGAAATGGATTGGGAGTTGTAAATGTTTACAATTTCTAAGGTTTTTGCCATAAATAATTGCCTTTTCAGTTTTTATTCTGTATTGGATTCTATACAGCAATTATTTTGAAAGTTTTAAGTAATGTTAAAAGTGGGGAGTGACTGAGAAATTGTACTGAGAACTTGAATACACTGTACATTGGGATATAATGATTATTTACAAAAGAGTAATTGTGGTGATGTTTTTCCAACTTATTATTATATAGATATGAATGGAAGGATGAGATCCAGAAAGATCCAGAAGTTCTTATGGTAAGCTGAACTATGCCAAATAATATTTTTTACATTATTTTTCGTTTCTGAGTACTAACTTTACAGCATTCGTTGATTTATATAAGTCATATAAATTTTATAGTTCATTGAAAGTCATTAATATTATGATTTCTTCCTTGGAAATTTCTAAACCCCTTTACAAAACTATATAATCAGAATAACAAGTGAACTCAACAGTTTTAATCTAAGTGACGAAAAAATATATTTTATTAAATCAGTAATACATTTAGCTACATTAAGACGAATTAAATAGCACTTGTGATTCCAACAGTGCAATAATTTGTGTAATTATATGTAATCACCAATGAAAATTAATTTTGAGAAGATACTATGAAACTCATCAAATTTTTTGTGAACCTAACATTTATAAAATAAAAAATTACTTTTAATATAATAATGCAAAAACGTTTGCTAGATGTAGTCATTACTAACATTTTAAGAATTTATTGCCACATCTCATTCTATAAATTGTGCAAAATGTTCATTTGAATATTTCTTAAATTTCCGTTATAGATGATTAAGACAAGAACTTCTAGACTGGAAGATTTAACAAAGTTTGTAAGGTATGAATGTGTGTTTAGCATATACAATAAGGAATTAATATTCTTCAAGTTTAACTAAGTATTAAGATATTATTATTCAAGATAAAGCCTCTTACATACAAATTAAAACCACCAAAGCTAAAATTGGATAAATAGGAAGCAAAAGGTATATGTATGCAATTCATCAGGTTAATTGTGTGAAGTGTATTTATATATTTGGTATTTATCGTAACTCAGATTTATTGTTTTGTATGTTTTTCATGATGAACAATTGTAACATGATTTCGATGAAAATAAAGTTGTTATGGTTCAGATTTCTTATACACGCTTCAGACAATTAATATACTAATATTTTCCCAAAACATCCAAGCACGAAACACAGAAGTTCTGTAGAGTGTAAGTGTGAAAATAAACAAACCAAAACCCGATAGTCTATACAATACACAACATATTTTTATATTTCAACCCAAACCCAAGAAACAGACTTCCTTTTAGGAAAATTTCTAGGGTTACAGTTACAATTCTTTCTAAAAATAGCATTAAAGACATTCATGACTGCTAAGATTTGCTTTATTACATGACAATAATATTTTGGGACTATTGGTGTATCTCTTCAATATACCACATCTGAAGGCTACCCATTTCAAAGACAAACCACTCTGTTTGAAAAGTAAAACTATCCAAGTTTAAGATGACTCCCACCTTTTCAAGATTTATATCCCCTTGATCACCATTCACATCATTAAGTACTGAAAAAAATGATGCATTGATACTATCAATTCCCATAATAGTTTTAATCAAATTCCCACTTTTTTTTTTTTAAAGAAAACAATTTGCAAAATTTTTATTTGTCCTTGTATGACTATATTTCCATCCCTGGTATCATCCTAGTACCCCTCCTTTGAACCTTTTCCAACAGTTCAATGCCTTTCTTAAGGTAAAGAGCCCAAGATTAAACACAATACTCCAAATGAGGCCTAACCAGTGACCTATGCAAATGAAATAACCTCTTTAGATTTACATTAAATTTTTATATAAATACAACCAAAATTCTGGTTTGCTCTATCCAAGCAACAACTTGGATAGTTTAAAGAGACTGATCAATCAAAACACCAATATTTTTTTCTTCTATAACAATTTTAAGGTTATTCTCATCAAAATTATACTTATAGTTTAAATTACGATAATCCACAAGCATTACCCTGCATTTATTATAGTTAAAGGCTGTGTGATAGTTATTTGCCCAACTCTCCAAATGATCTAAGTCCTTTAGTAAAGCAACAGCATCCTCCTCACAACCAGTAATATTCAAGAATTTAATATCATGAACAAATTTTTGGTAAAACAGCAGCATCCTTGTAACGAGCAACACCAAAACCTCAATATAATGAGCAAATTTTTTGCTAAAGCAACAGCATCATCTTTACAGACAGCAACACCAAAGCCTTAATATCATGAGCAAATTTTAGCAGTTTATTGATCGTTCATTTATCAATTACATTGATGTAAACCAAAAAGAACAAAGGTACCCAACTTGTGACATTATTCAAATTTGATAACTCTATGTATAATAACCCTTTTGCTTTCTTTCCTCCAGCCATTTTGTGATCCAACAAACCAACTTATACCCCACACCCATAGAAATAATTTTTAAGAAGCCTTTTACGTGGCACCATGTCAAATGCTTTTTGAAAATCCAAATACACATCTTTATTCTCATCTACATAAGCAGTAACCTCTTCCAAGAATATCAAATATTAGTAAGGCAAGACTATTCCCCTAGTATTTAAGATAAGCTATGGAAGACAGTTACATTGTCCATAAAATGTCAGATATTGTTAAATATCTAGCATTCAAGGTCCTACTGCCAGTATTATACAAGTTCTTGTAAATATGAAAATACACTAGTGTATGTTTGTATATATATATATTAATTTTTTTAAATATTTACAGAGATAACCATCCCTATGAGGTTTGTGAAGTGATATCTACACCAGTAAGTGGCATTTTATATATTCTCTTTCTTGGCAAATACGTGTTTACTTGTAAATGTTAAAGAGTTAACTGTACTACAGAAAACAAAATTATGATAAATCTGATGTTTTGCTTTGATGGCTTGATCAGAGACTTGGACTTAGAAAAAAACCTTTGGCTGCTCTTAGACATTTGAAAAGAAGTTCTCTACCAACGTATTCTATTTCTTCAACAAAGTGTTCTCTAAGGAAGTTTGGCTGAAGAAGTGAAATGTCTTGGTATAGGATTTCTTTTCAGCTGCTCAAGAAAAGCTAAAGCTCCATCATGGCTTCTGGAATGTGTTCAAATTAAAATTTCTTGTCATCCATGTGTGTTTGGACACACAAACACTTCATAGATAGATTCCATGACCACTGTGCAGAATGCAGTTCACACTGTAACATGACTACTGTGATCCTTCAGAGCTGGCGCTGAACATAAGCAGCTGTTACTTTGAAGGACTTGCTGTCATCATTTCATTATGATTCCATTGTTAATTGGTTTTACACTGTCAAAATGAACAGTTGTCTATTCCAGCCCTTCCAAAGAACCCAAATTCACAGAGATGTGCTGCACACATCTCAAAGGCAATGCTTCATAAACTGTGTGCTATGGAATTTTTGCAATTATTAAGTAATTTTCATTTAGTAATGTAAATTTTTTATAAATTTAATAAATTTTTAAAATTTGATTTATTTTCTCCATGATACAAAGCATAACAGTAATTTCTGCCTGTCTTAGTCAGGGGTGTGCCATTAGGCCTGAAAATGATTGGGCTTTGAAAAAATACTGTCTGAATTTTACAAATGTTAATTTATTATTAGTGCGAGAAGTAACAGAAATCATTTTTACAATAAATGCACGTTATTTATCAAGAAGCAACATCTGAACAGATGATACCTTAGAGCAGTGTTTCCCAAACTTTTTCAGTTCGCGGCACACTGTTAATGTCCCAAACTTTTTGCAGCACGTGTAAATAAGTCCGTATGGCAGTGTTGTATTATCAACTTCTGAATAATGTTGAACAGTTTCATTTGTAGTATTTTATGCATAAAAAAAGCCATTCAATTGTTTTTACATATCCATCCTCCACACTTTTAGCTCTCTGTAATTTTTCTCCCTCTCATAATAACAATGTTTTGATATCTCAAACACATCGTGAAGCTATTTTATCTTCTGTTCCAGGGTTATATATATTAAAGCAGTGTAACTAATAACATTTTAACTTTTTTTGTTCTTAATAAGATACGTGTTAATGTAGGTGTTCCCTATACAATACTATAAAATATACCAATGATGAAAAACAGTAAAAACCCAACACATTTTAGAAGTAATAATTTGTGTTAATTAAATTCATTCTAATAAATTTTAGGTGTGCTGTATGACAGTTGACAGTTTTACCACACAGTAATAATAATTATCTTTTAAATCAAGTTTTCTTGAAAGAGGAAATTTTCAATGTTATTGTTAAGAGGATTCAGTATTGTTTATTGCTAGAATACATGTTGCAAGATATGGTTGCGGATTCTTTTTTTTTATATGTATATGTAAACAAAATTTTGTTTGTTTTAATGTAAATAAAATAATGACCCATATCTCCAGAAATTATTTTTTATTGGCTCAGTGCTTCACTATTACAGCTTTGTCAGGAGCTATCAATAGCCTAAAGATGAAACTAAATTGGAACACTGTCATACAAAGAGGTGTAGGTTACTCAATTTACATTAATAGAAATGTGTCGTAATAAACCTCAGTTTACATTGAACAAAGTTAAGAATAAAACTGTGTTTGTTTTTGTTCTGTAGATCCAACATGGAAACTTACCCTACTTGAAATGGTTAGGAGAAATTGTTCCAGATAAGTAATAAGCCTTGCTTTACCACAGAATAAACAGATATGCATGTGTCAAATCTTTGAAATTAATACAAAATGCTACTTGTATACTTTAACCACATTTGCTGGAATTATGTAGCTATAAAAACATTTTGTTCTTATACACAATGAATATTCCATTTGAGTAATTTATGTTATTCAAACAGTTTTAGTTCATCCAGTTCTTCGTTGCCAATATTAAGTAAAATGTTGAAAAAAAATACTGTTTGTTTCGATACAAGTTAAAGTACACTTGTGTAATGTACAAGATATAAATAAATACATTTTGGTACCATATTTCGCATGTATTAGTATTAATACTCAAGTTCAAATGACTGGTCAGTATTGAAACAAATACTGGTTCTAGGTTACTGGGTTGTCTTTACCAGATTTAGAGCTATCACATGTGTGGAAGAGTAATTGAAAGCAAAATGCACTACGTCTGTAAAATAATAATTGATAGCTTATTTCAATCACACCACAAGTGTAGATTTTTGGTCAATTGATGATATAATACTACTAACTACAGGAAAACTTTCACAGACAAGTATGAAGTTTGTATTTCTTTTCACATCTAGAAAAAAGTAACTTTTTAGGTAAATAAATATTTACTTTCTATAAGCAAGAACTACAGTAAAAAAAATTACATTAACACACAAGAATATTACTACATTTCAGTTCACTGTTTATTGATCCTTAATAGTAGTAACAATTTGTTCTATTTATAAAGATTTAGTCCACAATTAATGACAAAGACCACTGTACAAAATTGAAAGTTATTTGTGCATGCCAAGCCTAGTTATAGAAGTTTTTAAAGGTATTACACTGCCCTGCAATGTTTTATCCCTTAAAAAAGGAATTGTTCAAATTTGCACAAGTAAAAATATTCTTTTTAATATCACATCTCTAACTTGAACTTTGTGATGGACAAATTAAGAGGAAATAAGAAAGAAATCAATTATCATAAATGTTCCATTGCTTTAACAGTGTTTTGTATATACACCATAATATTATGCCAAGTTAACAACTGATATTGAAATGTTTTTAGACACATCCCCGATTTTGAAAATTGTAATAAATTAATTAAAAGGAATGTGAAAAAATATGGTGTAGTATGATTTTCATAGCAAATGCTAGCTTAAATAAATAATGCTATAGTAAATTAATATTTCTTGTTCAGAAAATAATTGCAATTCTAGTAAGTTCTGCTTCACTGACTATGGTGTTTTAAACTGATTTCTTGTTGTTGAATTTTGCAACTAACCATAATATTTGTTTAAAATAAGTTAATAAAGTAAGTGATTAAAAATAACAATTGGTGTACTTAGCTGACTTGATGCCTTTAGAAGCTTAGTATTTTGTTTTTCCTGTCACTAGGTTGTGCTTTATGCCAGATCTCTATCCTTGTTTGTTTTGGTTTTTTTTCAGTTTTTCATTGTAATGTTGTTGTTTAATACATGAGGGTGTGAGAAAATTATATTTGAGCTTGCTGATGTTGAAGCCAACAACTAGTGTTACTGACAGAATTTGGTAATTTGGCTTAAATATACTTTCTCTCAAAAAAAAACATTAATTGAAGTTTGTGTTGAAGTTTTTATGTATGTGATTTTTAATGAAATATTGGACAATCAGCTGGAAATTTGGAAGCAATTATCTTTGTATTTGAACTGTTAAATATGGATGAAATAGCTTGTTTTTTTCCTTATGATTTAGCATTTCCTCCTTCACTTATAAATTATTTCACATACTAAACAAACTTGGCTTGATTTACTAAAAATGTTCCCAAGATAACCCATTTTCAAGACTATATAAAATGGTATTGACAACGAGGCCACGCGAATAGCAAAATCTATAAAATAGGTTAGCCTAAAGTCTCCCGCCTACCTGAACGACCATAAGTTCTATACAAGCTGTTTGTTTTTAAGAAGAGACGTAATCAAGAACTACAACATCCAAGGCTTTCCCGGTTGTCCTGAGGTGGTTTAACACACCATATACTCACATGAGAACAAAATTTATATACACATTTAATAATAACAAAAGTCTTTTTTTTTATAACTATTTCAAGTAGCATTTAACAATAATCCTTAAACCAAGAGTGGAGCAAAAGAAAAAAAAGAGATGCATACACCCCTGGTTATATTAACCTAAATAACTGCCACTTTGGATTGGATCTCTTTCAGAGAAACAGGTTAGTTAAGCTTGAGGAATCACCTTATTATCATAATGGGGCTTTAATTCTCTTTTTTTTTTACAAGATTTGTAAACTTTTGATAAAGAATTACTAGGGTACAAAATGAGAGCTTTTAATTTAATGAAGTTTCAAACGAGAAAAGTAAATGTTAATTTTTCAAAAAAATTTATACTTTAAAAAATCCTTCAGATTTGGAAAAAAAAAAATTTGTTTTCTAAACAGAATTTTACTTCTACACTGATAAAAACATATTTGCAAAGTAACCTTAAACCTTAAAGGAATGAAAAATTACAACACCAGAGCTTATAGGCTGAGAAACGTAAAAAAAAAAAAATTGGTCATTACAAATATATGTATTTTTCTGTCCCATGCCATTATCTAAATGTAATTTCACAGTTGCGAATAGTACACTAATTATTCAACAGTCTGACACCAAAATTAAAAAGAAAACTATAATAATGAATGTGACCTACATTATGCTGCTACTTCCTTTCCATTTCACAAGCTGAGAATCATTCCTTTAGACGATTTAATGTGGCATGACTCTTAAAGCAACAATAGAGGCATTATATTCTGTCATTGTAGCCATGCAGATCAAGAAATATAATATTCAAAAAGCAGTTTATTCTAGGTGAAAAGATAAGTTTTTAGCAGCTGAGAAATTTATGTGAATGTATCATTATATCAGTTGTAGCTGAAATTGTTAATCTAGATAAAATTACAAAAATGAAATGGACTCTGATTCATTTTCTGAAATTACAAGTAGGTCAGCTTAGGCCAATAATACATGTAATATCAAGACTAATAATTAAATCAGGAAAAATTTTAATACTCTTTAAAAACTCACTCTAATAGAGCAATTATATTAAAGTGTTTGAAAACTATTAATTTAATTTAGGATAACTACTTTACGGTATCATGGTTGTAAGTGATAATATACAAACACTGACTTGGAAAACATTTGTGAGTGATAATGCTTTTATTAAACAAAATATCACAATCTCTGGATTTTACATTTTTTATTACTTAAATTGTTTTATATGAAGTGGTTCGCAAAGATAAATATATTAAATGGTCCATGAGCAAGAAGATATGGGAACCACTGGCCTAAAGACTGATGCTTATAATCAATACTACAGAAAACACCACAGCTGCAAAGGAAAAGGGGAAAAAAATTATTTCATTATTTTACTGTTTTGTTGAATAAAACAAATACACTTACTGAAGACTCAGAAATATGAAGAAAAAAAACGTTTTAAATTTTGAGTTTTATATGACAGTTTGTAATAAGTCCACACTGAAGTTTTCTGATGATAACAGATACACTGTATTCTCATGTCCTCACTTGGAATCTTCCATTCTTAGTAAGATACTTCACTCCTTTGAAAGGTTTGTATTTCTGCAGTAGACAAAAAAAAGATGTTATAGTAAACTTTTGTTTTAGCATCAGTAGCTGAATCAACACAATGAAAGTCTGTCTTGGGGGAAAAAAAAAGAAAGACTTTAATCCTCCAGATTGAAAAAAAAATAAAGTCTCCTTACTAGTTTATTTTTTAAATATTTTTTGCTTTGATAAATTATTATAACAAGATTAAGTATTGTTCAACCCTTGAACAATAACATGTTACCATCACCCAAACTAACTCTACCCTGTATAATTTTTTAATTTTAAAATTTGGAGTAACAAAGCTTGTGTCACATATGTTACGTACACACTGTTTTTAAGTCAAACTTTAAGCAAATCACTACAACAAGGAAAGCAGTTTTTTTTAGTTATAATGATCAAATAAATAGTCATCTTTTAGTGATAAGACATAATATTCTCTGCCATTATAACATATTTATTAAGAGACTCTACAACATTACTAAAATGCGTATATGAAATGGACTTCAGAAACTTTTAAAGTAATAGTTTTGCTGAAAATATAAAAGGAATATTTAATATTACGTCAATAAATTTTATATGTTACAAACACATCAAAATAATTTCCCGCTTACCTCCCCATACATGTCTAGTCGGTTGACCTTTAACCCTGATACTGCAAGCTGACTGATAGTGAACTGTATCTGAGAAAAGAATTCAAATTCTGAAAACAGTGATGCATCAAATAATTCCAAAATTAATTCTTATTCATCATAAATAGGAGAATAATAAGAAAGAAACAAAAGCTGAAGAATCTTATTTTGTTGATTATACAACTGGTTAGTAATATTAAACGTATTATTGGATTTATGGCTGAAAATATTAACAGTGAGGGTACCTAACTGATGAAACCAAGTATTTTAATCTTTATAAGTAAGAACTTGAGAAAAGTATATTTATTTAAACATACTTCTGACCAGGTAAAGTTTTAGTCTGCTTTAAGTAGAAGCCTTGTTCTGATAGGAAGTTAATTCTCAATACTATTTAAAAAGAAAAGGAAAAAAGTGATAAGGAAAATAATTTTGAAACAGATTTAGTACTTTTAGTTATCATACATGATTTCTGTATATGGACACCTGCTTCAAACTGCAACTAGTGTATTGATTTTTTTCTTCATAATATAGATGCTTTCCTGCCTTTATGAAATGTTATGGCCTTCAGTAATATGTTTTTGACAATTTGTTTAATCCATATTTTTTGTTTGTTTTTATCATTATGGTAGTATGTTTAAAAAATATTCTTAAATTCAGAAAGTGCATGGATCCATATTTTTGAAGAAAACAATTATAAATACAAGCTAGTGAGTATATAAATGTACTCTATAGAACAAATTTAACTCAAACTCTTCCTTTAATTATCTAATCATTTAGTTATGCGAGAGCCAAAGTAACTTAACGATAATGTTCTATCGGTATAAATTATATCAAATAGTCATTTTTTTTCCAATACCTTATATTTTGATTTCTGATCTTCATTACATTTAATTTTTTTTTTTGCAGACAGTTATTCTTTTTAATTGTGTAATCAGCCACTCTGCTGTTTGTTCATTTGATCAAACAAACCATTCTGTACATTTGATAAATTTTACTATGACTGAGTAAACTTTTAAAACAAAAGCATCTTACGTCTACAAACTATTTTTTATTGATCTTCTCTATTTTGTCTTACGATTTATATTTGTGATGTACTTGTGCAGGGTCTCCAAAAGTGTTTTGTTTCAAGAATAAATAAAATAAAACCAAAATTAAGAGTAACAAATATTTTTTATTTCTTGCTTTTGAAGTTCATATATCATGCTGTGTTGTAGCCTACAGAATGCATAATTCTTATGATTCATGGTATGCACACATTTTACTGATGTCATGACAATACAAATTGCAATGTTAACCACCCCTTATGTAAAATAATTTTAATGTCTACTGATCGAATGACAGACAACACATTACTGTATAGCACGAGTGGTTAAAACAGGTGACCTTTGGCCCCTTTCAGGGAAACAAGTTAAGCATATTATATTCCTCCACTTCTACCGTTTCAAACAACTATTATCATTACCGTGACAATAATTAGTTCAACTGTGCTCTAAAATGTTTGAATTGCTTATCATTACAGTCACTGTCTTCTCTTTCATGACAAACTTTAACTTGTCTAATACTAGTTTACTGCAAAGTGTGAATTCCCTCTAGGCAGTGGCCAAGTAAGCAGTCAGAAATAAGGACTTACTTTTTTAATGCTTCTGATCTAAAAAATAGTACACTTGTAATGTCACAAACAGTAACACAAAATCTTTTCATTAACATAATTTAGCTCTGTTTAGCTTCTAATCTCATGACTTATTGGTTAACCGTACTTGCATGAGTGAGGATCAAAATGTGCATGACAAGAAGTTTTACAGAGTGCCATTTAACAAGGTATTGTGTATTTGATGTCAGTGTTATTAATTTTACCCCACACTGCTGATTTAAGGATAGTTTCTGGTAGAGGAGAGCAAGTATCAGATACAACATACAGAGATACTGAAAAAATGTAGATAGTCATTGTAAAATTGACAAAAGTATTTTTATTCTTCACATGAACATCGCTTGTTAGAGTCTGAGTCAAACTGATGTTGTCATTTCACAGACATATCTTGAATACAAATACTTTGTAACATGTGATTTTTTTTGTTTTCAACAGACCTGTACATTTTACTCAAAGCTTGCCACATCCCATATAGATACATATAATAAATTCTGAATTGTATTCATTATTCCTTCTCCATTACGTGGTTTGTCCAATGACCGACTCTGTGCATATTCGGTTTGTCAAGTGCACTGGAATAGATAGTTGTTTCAAATGTGCTCATAAACCTTAAGCCAACAACAATTTAATTCATATTAAAGCGTGCCTGAGCTGTTGGATAAATCTTTATCAACTACTTCACCAGCCTGTTTACTAGACATTAATCAGAACACATAGACAAAAGAAAACTTACGGATATGATTGGGTTTGCTTCCGGACCCGAGGACCCTGTCTGCACACTGATCTGTAATTCATATGTTCACAAGAATATGATTAATATCTGGTGTATATTAACTACTACCCAAATCAGAATTAATTTAGTGTTTATGTAATATTCCCACTATACAAAAAGCTTCATTTTAAGTACATACAATTACAGTTTATACCTGTCTTTCCAACACTCTTATCCCACGTGTGACACAAAAAGTGCTTGAATCCTCAAATATATTTTCTTTTACTATATGTACTACAGAGTTAATGATCTCCATAATTAAACGTCCTCTATTCAAACAGTACTTTTGACAAAAAAAGCTCAATTTCTTGACTAGTTACTTAGAAAAAATTTTTCCACGCTAGTGGGTTTAAAAATAGTAACAATTACTGTGAAGCAATGATAGCTGACCCATTTGAAGTACATATACTAAGTGAATATGCCAACAAAGAATAAAGAAAACAAATTGTACTTGTGAACTGTTGTAGCTGTAGTTCAAGTTAGGAACAAATCCTTAAAACGTTTAATTGACATAAGAGTATACTGAAAAAGAATATTAAACCAAACTTAATATATTTGAGTTCAAAGCTAGTGGAAGTTTAAAATACATAAATACACACACACGCATATAAATTAACTTTCTTCATGTGCAGAAACAAATATTACTAGATGTACATAACTATATGGTGAAGTCTACAAATCACTAACAAAGGGTCTTAATGGTATCATTTTTTAACATGATCATTGGGAAATTTGAAAGTTTCAGTCAGTTATAATTAGTAATTTAGGCTTATCAATCATAAGGATATTAAAAATAAATATAAAGCTCAATCTATCATTTGATTCGACACATGTTGCCGAGTGTTACCAATTTCATGGAATTGCACATCAGTAACCACAGACAAGGGCACATCAAAAAACAAGACTAGGCTTATTATCATTAGTGGATTGTATATTATACGTATAGTTGTCTTCTATTCAACATGGTGAATCTATACATATAAGAATTGTATTACTCTATACACTTAATTTCAATTGAAGTCTATTAGTCAAGACACTTTATGTAGTTCTTGTTCATTATTTGCCTTTACAAGAATTTTATTTATAGGTTCATTACACCCATTCAGTGCATAGTTCTTAAATGGAAGACAGTTTAAATTCTTGTAAAGACAAATAATGAAGGAGTTACACATAAAGTCTATTGGTTAATAGACTTCAATCAAGGATAAATTAACAGAGTAGTACAGTTTATTTATTACTAATTCTATACGTGTTTATGTTGTTATGAACCCATATTTATATACGATTTAAAGATTAAAAAGCAACAGTGCTACTAACTTATCCTTCAAAGTTATTCAGCAAACAAGCTGTTTAGGGTACTGAAAATAAATGAGTTATTTTTTACTCACTGGAATGAGAAAAATACAACTGAAAACTCCATACATATAAGATTCTTAGTTATATTTTGAGCTTTTCAATAAATAAAAAAGATACTACAGTACTCGGAAAAAGCATTTCTTTCAAATTTATTTTCATGACAAGTATTCTGTTCTTATAAATTTCTACTGGTGGACTAAAAGCAGGTAAGCATAGCTTTGTAAAGTGACCATTATAACAAAGCACTTACATTGAGGAATGAAAGGATTATATAAAAAAACTGACAATTTCTACTTGGTCAAAGGAACAAGTGTTTGACCACTTTTCATGTTGTTAAAAACATTTTAGAATTTTAAACATTTGTAAATCATTTTTGAAACTTGTAGAAATATTGAATTAAAATGGACATTTAACCATAAATATATGCTGTATACCTGTGATATCTTACATACAGACTATACTTTTTTCATTAGTGCCATATGATTTAGTGTCACTTCATAATATTTTAGAAATTCTAAGTTAATGTTATTCTATAATCTAACATCACATACACGAGCTCCTTTAATTTCACACATGTAGTAAAAAATAAATTGTCTAAAAAGTATAATATTTAGTTCTCAAACCTACATGTCCCCGAATGTTAGGAAGTTTTCCAGCTTCAATACGGCCTATTTCCCACACCATATTTTTACTAACAGGATCAAATGTGTATTTTCCTTGAGTGGGAGTCAATGTCACATTAAGAACAGTCTTCGGCATTGGAATTTCAACTACAACATTCTCCACCTGCATTACAGGATATTGTTAATTAAGAAATGTTCTTATAGCAATATATAATTGTTAAAAGATTGAAAAAAGTGTATAATATCAAGTTTAAAATCTGTGTATTAGATTGTTTTATCACTTTGTACTTCTGCATTTATATAGTTCACAAACATCTGTATTACATCAAAGATGTACATGCAATTACTCAGCTATGCACAGCCCCGACAAAATAATTATTAAAAATACACATCTGTTATAGATGTATGCACCAACAAATACATGATCATACCAGAAAATCTGTAACTAAACAATGTAAAATCATACCATTTATACAAAAGTATAAATTATATCATTATAAAGTGAAAATGTTTGCAAGCCATAGCACCCAAAAGTACTGGGGATATTCAATCTATCAAACAAATCAAAACAACAGATGGAAAATTAGAATACAAGCTAAGATTCAATAAGGAGTTAGAATCTGGGTGCTAGAATCCAAAACATTCTAGATCCCACAATCACTCACCGTCTACAACCAGTTGTGAGCATGGTAGTTACCCCTAAAAATATAAATTGGATACCACCAACCACTCCCGATTTCTATCGAAAACATAATAAACAATGTTCTTTGAATTCTTATAACACTTTACATAAATAGAACATATCGTTCCCCTAATTGCACTTTAGCGGCTTTACTGAAGTTTCTGGAGCTTACCATCTTCCCCATTGTTTGCTTTGGTCCAATAGTAATATCCAATCTTCCTCCTCCAGTTTCTTTGAAGGAAATGCTGTGTTTCACATACAGAGGTATGGCCACAACACTACAAAAAACAATGAATTAAGTACTTCTACAATGGTGGGAATATTCATTTACAACAATTCAATTTAGAAATAATTTAGCTAAAATTAATATATGTTTTAAATATAATCCTGCCCTATTTTAAGTCTGTGAATCTTTCATATAACCATTAGACACATTTAATTTAAAAACAAAACTTACTCATATATGTCGATAACATATCATATAATCAAAATGTGACAGTATGGTATAGTAATGTAATATGTTTAATTTTAATTTGTTACATAAACCCAATAAAACATATTTCTTAATATATCTTATTCAAAGCATATGCAAAAGAAGCTTCATATCAAACTATTAGAAAAATCAAACTATTATATGGCTAAAACTAAAGGAAAATAAACTAAAATCACTTTTTTAAAGAACCTTAATTTTAATACACATTTACAAACACAAGAACGTTTATAAATTGTAAAATTCAGCAAGCTTTGGAACTATACACAACATTGTTTGTTTCGTTTGAATTTCACACAAAGCTACATGAGGGCTATCTGTGCTAGCCATTCCTAATTTACCAGTGAAACACTAAAGGGAAGGCAGCTAGTCTTCACCACTCACTGCCAACTCTTGGGTTACTCTTTTACCAATGAATAGTGGGATTGACCATCACTTTATAATGCCCCACGGCTAAAAAGGTGAACATGTTTGATGGGACAGGGATTTGAACCCATGATCCTCAGATTGCTAGTCAAGCACCCTAACCACCTGCTACACAACATCTCAAATAACTATTTTTTTGCATATCTGCAGAATTGTAGATGTTACCAGACACAAATCATTCTAATACTCATATTGATGCTTCTAGTATATAACACTAAAACTAGTGATGGGCCTACTACTGATACACCTAGTAATATAGCATTAAAAGTACTGATAGGGTTCACAGTGGCCTCATACTGATGCATCTAGTATATAACACAAACTACTGAAGGGGTTATCACTGGCATCATACTGATGTACCAAGGAGTTCCATGCTGGCTTTTTAAACACATTTGTCTAAATATTTTTTATGCACCATATTGCTTTGGGTTCATAACTGTTGGTTATAATTTCTTTATTATATATATATCATAGAACATAAAAAAAACTACTATCAATATTGTGATTAACTACTACCAATGACTATACTGCACATTTTCAAGTCAGTTTCCCCCCACAAACACACTCAGAAAATGCAGTAAATGTTTTGCTTTTTGTTGTTAAACACAATGGGCTATCTGTGCTCTGCCCATCACAGGTATCGAAACCTGGTTTTTAGCATTATATGTATATGTATATATTTTGTACAATTAACTTTTTTAGTAAAACAAAACAAAAAATTTGATAAACAAAAAGAATATCAATGTACTGAATAAAATTCCTCTGTTATTTCTCTCACTGTACTTACCACAGTATTTGTTTTAAACAGTCTACTGCCAAAAGAATGACTAAACGAATATTAAATTTTCAAATGATCATTTTAATTTTTTACTTGAATACTATTGTTATTTGAGGTAATGTTAGAATTTTTTATTTTCTACAAAACATACAAATTGACAAGTTATTTGATAAAGTGAATGACTAATACCTTTCGTTGTTAAAACTAACTCTGAAAAGCATATAATTTACAGTTTCTTATTGCCTTTCGTAGAAGTATCATTTTCTAAGACTATTTAATTTTATTGAAATAAAAAATATACAACGTAGTTCCATAAAGATTTTTTTATATGATTATTAAAGTATATGAATAATTAATAATCATACAGAAAGTTTGTTTTTCTTACTACTAACTTACTTTTGGGCTCCAATGTGATATGACATCAGTCTAAAGTTACCATCAGGTGGAACAAATGACAGAATTCGTTCAGACTATTAATAAAGGAATCAAAACATATAGTAAAGGTTAAAGTCTGTGCTCTGTCCAAAAAATGAAGTTTAAGTTGCTTAAACAATTCTCTCACTGAGCATTACTATAATATGTTGAAGCAAAAAAAACTGCCAGATGGGCACTAAGCCAACTGAGCCACAGGAGAGCATATCATAAACACATTTTCCCAATAACACATAAACTGCTTAGTACGAGCTGAAACAGTAAAAATTTATCTATATTTGATCTAAAATCATATCTAAATTTAAAGTATATTCCATATTTTCACCAAAAAACAGTGTTAATTTTAATGTGATTACTTAAGAGCTCCTTAACCCTCCATTGCTCAAAACATGAATATCAGAATATACTTTGGATTATAACCTTTATTTCCCAAAGACTAATCCAAGTTCACCAATCAATGACTGACATTATCAAGTAAAACAATGAAATAAATAAGCTAATCATCAAAAACTAAAAATCAAAATTGTATAGTACTGTACACTTAGATTTCTTCAAAATACACATGTAAATAATTTAGAATTTAAAAATTGTAGAAAAGTATAACAACTGCTTTTTATAATGCAGTTTTTTGGCAACTGATGTAAATTGTGTTATAGATCAAGGAAAAAGTATTACTGATATTTTGAAAAGTTTACATTGTTATCTTGTAAAATTTCAGCTATCAGTATATTGTCAAAAGAACATTCTAAGGTTTTATCAGAGACAAAGATGAAACTTGTTATTTTATAAAATATAAAACTTTATATCCTCAGAATTAAAACAACTGTTAGTGCAATTCTGAAAGGAAATAGATAGAAATCAGGAGACAGCAGAGAAGCTACAACACAGAAGCCTTGTCCATGCATGAGAGAAAAAACCCATATAGAAGTTTACAAAAACTTTGTTACAAGGAACTTTGACTACAAACATTATATTCCTCAAACTACCCCATACTCTTGTGAGTGAATAAAGGTAAACGTGGGATTCCTTGTCTACTCCATGACAAATCCATCAAAGTGACTAAAGCTGAAGTGTCTTAAAAATCCACTTTAAGAGAAAGAAAAAGACACAAGTAATGAAGATAGACCGTACCAGTCCATCTAGACCACAGGGGCTGGTGATGATAGACTGCACTGGTCCATCCAGACCACAGGGGCTGGTGAAGATAGACTGTACCAGTCCATCCAGACCACAGGGGCTGGTGAAGATAGACCATACCAGTCCATCCAGACCACAGGGGCTGGTGAAGATAGACCGTACCATTCCATCCAGACCACAGGAGCTGGTGAAGATAGACTGTACCATTCCATCCAGACCACAGGGGCTAGTGAAGATAGACTGACCAGTCCATCCAGACCACAGGGGCTAGTGAAGATAGACTGCACCAGTCCATCCAGACCACAGGGGCTGGTGAAGATAGACTGTACCAGTCCATCCAGACCACAGGGGCTGGTGAAGATAGACTGTACCAGTCCATCCAGACCACAGGGGCTGGTGAAGATAGACCGTACCAGTCCATCCAGACCACATGGGCTAGTGAAGATAGACGTACCAGTCCATCCAGACCACAGGGGCTGGTGAAGATAGACCGTTAATAGATCTCATGCTGTTAAAACATGAGTCAGTGAGGGGTTTCAATAATTTATGATTATTTTTTATCTGCAAAGAGTAGTTTCAGTAGTTGAACAACATAAAATCAAGTTGAAATAGGAAAGTAAAGATTTAGAACATGCTCACAATTATTACAAAGTTAACACTGTGTTATTCTGTGGATAAGATGTATGTAAATATTTTTCCTGTAAAATTTTTTTTGAGTGAAATGTTTAAAAAGTGAGCTATAATTGTAAAATAAATGAGAAACCACACTTCGTTTTATTTATTTGACCAATTTTGTCAACATTTTATGTGTAACAAATATAAAGTTACCTATTAACATTTATGATAATTAGCTAAGAGATTTTTCTGGACAAGCTGATATTGAACTCCAAGCACACTGTTTTATCACAAAACACATTTCTATTACCAGTGAAAGGTTTAACGCTTAAAACTTAGAAGCTTCTACTACACTGTTCTGATGTTGTTGGTAGTTATAAAATAAAAAAAGTGTAAATGGCAGTTTTGACCACATTGTTCTGGTGTTATTGCTGTTTCTAGTTACACTTCACACTTTTCCATTGATTACATGCTACCCTTCTCGATTGCAAGTACTTCTACTATAAAGTCTATTTTCCTGACAACACTGTAAAAAAAAACAACATATTTTGCCACCAATAACTCAGAATAACCAGACCTAAAACCAAATATTAGCTAGAAATTTGTACTTACTTCCCATCTTCTGAAACGGACACAAGGATGGAAACTGACATCATCAAAAAGCCGTGGGTTTATAAATGTCAAGCTAAGATCTGGCATGCCACTTAATTTGATACAGCAATCAATCTATTATACAGATAAAAGTGTAAAACTTATTTAACTTTCTTATACAATTTTATTCTTATATGTCAAGTAAAGATAACAGAACTAGTTCACATTTTCTTTTAAAACTAAATTCATTAACCACTGAATCTAAAAACAACAAATAAAATGTAGTACATGCTTTTCCAATTTGCTTAAAGTTCAAAAGTGCAATAGGATGAATGTAAACAAATTAAACAAGTTCCTGAATTTTAATTCATTAACCTGTCTCATAAAAATCATGTACTAGAATCAAACTGATACTTCAAATATTTTAAACTTACATGTTTACATTAAAAATAGAACTTCAATTTCAATTTAATAAAATATCACATTAAATGTACATTTAAACAGATAATGTTTATTATTTGATTAAAATAAACCATTTTTAATAAAATTAATTTGACCTATAACTTGTCTATAACACTAGCTGTGCTACCAAATCTCAAAGAGGGGGGGGGGCACTACTATCATTAGTGCCATATCTAAATCATAGGTGAGAGACAGAAAGAGAGTCATGCATAGTGACACAAAATTAAAATGATCTTTGGGTCTAACAACTATATAATATATTTGTGTACATAGAAGAAAACAGGACTTCAATCAGTGAACCTCAATGGTGAAAAACTATCAAGAGCTAGAAATTTTTAAGTGCTACTAACTCCAGGTTTTCTTATTAACTAATGTATGTATTAGAAATTCACAGACTCTTATAAACTTAAAAATTTTACTTTTTCATCAGCTGATCATTATCTTCTTGTTATCATCATTTTATAAAACACAACTTCTTACTTCAGTAGTGCTTTTAACTTTAAGGAAACTCTTGAGTATGATCATAAGAAAATGTTGTTTGTATAATTGTTTTTCTGGTAACATTAAATGGAGAGTCCAGTAAAAAAAAAAAAACGTTTCAGTAACAATTACCAAATACAAGTTCTGTTTTTGCAGGAAAACTACAGTTTAAACATCCAATCAAATCTTCATATTGTTCAAAGAAACACATGCAAAATAATTCTACTTTTTGTTTTAATGGTAAAGTTCCGAGAATTCATGAGCTGATTCATCTATCAGCATTTAAACCTCTCATCAAAGAATATTGTGTAGTTGTTCTAAATAATCATATATCTATATAGATCATTTACCAAACTGAAGTCTTCTATATGACCGAGTACAAATTAATTCATCCACATATACTGTGAAGGAATATCCCATGTACTTACGTAGCCTTGGATCTCTGCAAATACAACTGAACCACTTTTGTCAATAATGGCATCCACCTCTTCTATAACATCGAAGTATGCCTCATTGTTTGTATACTTCACTCCTGTTCTCCTCCATGGGATGTTGGAGAGTTGACCCGTTGGAAGTGTATGGCTAAGACTAGCATTAAAAAAAATAGCAACTTACAAAAACAACTAAACACACACACACACATATATATAGTATTGTGAATGATAAATAAAACAAAAGCTTAATACAGGTTCACTAATTTTTTAATTTTAAATTAACTTAAATATTAGAAGAATTTTATATAAAAGATATGTTATTGATTGCTCTCAAGACAGTATGCTTTCTTGATAAAAAGTTATATTTTTGCAAACATGTGAAAACCTGACATTTTGTATTCAAACATTACTCGGAAAGTTGGAATAAATATTTATATTTAAATGCACTGAAATATATAAAAAAACAGTAATTAAAAATGATTTAAGTTTATATAACCTAAACAAAATTTGGTTTTATCACTTTTGAAGTTTACTAATACACTAATTATGCTTAGTACATAAAGTGAATTAAATAATCTACTATATGTACATATACTAACTTAGATTTTCCTGTCACAGTGTTAGCAATAGTCCTCAAAATATTTGGAGGTTTAATGAGCTCTTTCAGAATATTGGACTCAGTGGCTAATGGAAATCCATTGTCCAGCATTTCATCAAGAAGCTAAGAAAATTGAAAAACATTGTTTCATCACTATAAAGATAAATCTGGAATTAATCAATGTATATAAAGTTATACTTTTAAACAAATTACAACAATATCAACACAAGTACACTGGAAACATATGGAAATATAATACATTTATCATTATTAATAAGCTAAAAACAGGTGAAAATTGTATTTTTTCCAAAATGTAGTATAATAAGCCTATTATCCTATACCGAATGATATTTCTTTTATAAAATTTCATTTTCTGTGTGTACATGTACTAAAACATGAGCTTGATCACATTAAAGATAGTTTAAATTAAATTACATAGTTGCGAGGGAGCTTTGGAAATTAGGAACAAATTGATAGGATAGTTCGGGCACAAGGAGTTTGGAAAAAAGGAGAATAAGAACATAACATATTAAATAATAGTTTTAAAGATAAGACTGTCAGATTTAACAACACACACAGTTAACTGAAGAATAAGCTTAGTTGCTACTACTGCTAATGCTAAAAGTACTAGGAACAAAACAGAAGACTTAACAGCTTTAGTTAAAACAGAAGACTATGATAAACTGGTAATTACTGAAATTTTATTAGATTTGGAGAACGATGACCATAAGAATTATTTCCAGTGTTCAAAATATGGGTGGAATTTCTGTTTGCCCAGTGAGCAACTCACATGAGTAGTCCTCATTGCCTGAAATTTTGGTTACTGGACAAATGTCAATTAATATTTATATTGTGTTTAAATAAACATCCATCTACTGTCATCAAGACAGATGCTGTGGCAAAGAAGCAATACTATTGGTTAAGAAAACAAAAGGGGCAACACATACTAGGAATGAATACATTAAAAAAAATATTTTCTTGTTGTAAATAAACTTCTATTCAATATTCAGGTTGTCATGGTTTTGTCTTGATTGTGGAACTTGCTGAAGGTGATGAGTGTGTTTTCCAAAACGTTCATTTAATATGTTATTATTCATCACTTCCGTGGTTGTATTGCTCATCATTATTGGTTTTAGTTTCTTGATCAACAGTCCCTTTGATTCATGCATCTTGTTCATCTTGTTGGAATAACATATTATGTCAAAGTTATTTTCATCAGCAGTTCTGTCAAATTCCTGATCTAGATGTTTGTAGATATTTGAAACATTTACAACACTAGGTTTCAGTTGCTTTTTTATACACTGCTCTAAACAACATGTAGCTGATCTCGCATAATCACATCCACATCAAGAACAAACATACAGATAAACAATGTAGGAGCAATGAAATTTATTAATTCTGTCCTTTATCATGAGTTATCAATCCTCAATACTTATTTTAAGTACACACATCAAGAACAAACATCTAGATAAACAATGTAGGAGCAATGAAATTTATTAATTCTGTCCTTTATCATGAGTTATCAATCCTCAATACATATTTTAAGTACACACTGAATTTTGTAGATACATTGATTTCAATCTATTTTTGATTTTATTTCTCAACACATAACATTCTTTACCCAAAAATGGAAGACTGGCATAAAATGACAGCTTGGGTACATTATAATTGACAGCTTGAGTACATTATAATTCACTTTAAGAGTGGTGTATGCTACATTTAAAAAATGTTGTCAATTAATGATAGATGAAAAACATTTTTGAACAGCACATTTCTTACACTTTTTACTTCTCTCCAAAAAATAATTATGGCAGCCAACAATTTAACAGGTTCCATAAAATAATCATATTGCTAGTAATTATCATAATTTTCACAAAAAAAAACAACAGAAAGTGTAAAATATGTGCTGTTAAAATAATATAGTCAGTAACTCATTATTTTTCTAACAGGATGATTAACATATTTTGTCACTGTCAGTAGTTGAGGCCAGCACTATACAAGAGTTTATATAGAGAAGCCAGGTATTTCCTGAAAAGTGTGGATTTAAATGTTTACTTTTACCAAGGGTGGGTGTGCAAGGACAGCCTTGGGAAACTAAATGGTCTCTTGCCATAATTTTATGTCATAGCTTTTTCTACATATATTTAAAACATATCTTGCATCAAAAGTTGCTACTTTCAAAATATTCTGCTGTTTCATAAATAAAATGGATGATTTAACTGATTACTTATGAAAAGCAATTACTTCAATCAGTATCACATAAACTAATCAATTAAATGAAATTAATGTTTCCAGTTATTACTGTTTTAGAATATTCCAACAACTGATTAATCAGAATTACATTTAAATTGGCTGCCACAATGCTAATCAACTAACTGAAATATTTCTATTATGTTTGTTTGTTGTTGTTCAGTACACAGTTACATAATGGGTTATATGTGTTCTTTTTTTTTTTTTACTTAAAGCTTGTTTAAGCTTTGGTGATTTGGATGGGGCCTTGTGATAAAAGGGTTTCAGGCTGAATTCCCATTGGCAACCAACTTTCTCACCCTGTCTTTGTTATGACAAAGCTATTTAGGCTATTTGCCATTTTCACTAATTTTGAACTGCTGATCAGAAGAAATGGTAACTGTCTGGCAGCACCTGCCACCAACTTTTTTTTTCTTCTTCTTCTTGAACTGTTGATTAAACAGACGGCAAATGTCTGGAAGTACCCACCTCCAACTTTTTTGTTTTTGAAATGCAGACTAGAGGGAAGGTAATTGGCACCTACCACCACTTTTTTTTTCTTTTACTTGTACACACCATGGTTTGAGGAACACTGTCATAATTGATTAATCAAAGGTAATTAATTGGATTGTCAATTAATTGATTAGCAAATACCACTAACTGCCCAGCCCTATTCGTGAGACATATTTACAAGATTTTTTCACTAAAATTCGATAGTACACGTAAGAATATGAACAAATTTTTTGAATTTTTAAATAATTAACAGTCTTACCTCATAAACCACAACATAATGCTCCTTGATCAGAAACTCTGTGCAGTCACCAAAATAATCTTCAATAATATCCACTACACGGTGAAGGAACTCAATAACAAATAGGGGAGGAGCTAAAAATAAATAACTTGTTGCAGCACAAGGTTCAAAGTTTTTTATAATTTATAAATACTAGGTATATTGACATATTATTCAAACATGCAAGCTGCCATATGTGTAACGAATTTATTATTGTATATTTGTTTTAATATTGACGTTTGTTGAAATCAAATTTATATTTAGAAACATACATAGCTTATACTGTTAAATATGTATTGTGAAACTCCTGCTATTCTCCAAAATTGTAGAAGATTCTCGAGAATAAGAATCAACAATATATGTATGTACAAAAATGCTTAAATTTGTATTGTTACATAAACTGAATTTTCTAGAAAGACTCCACACGCCTATAAATATAACCAATGCAATGTGCCATAAAAAGTAGTATCTATTATTAGTCTGTGTGCTGTAAACTTTGGAAGCTATAACTGTGATTGTTATAATGCTTACCAATCAGAAAACTTCAGATATTTGACCAGGAACCTTTAAAAAGTTCAAACATTACAAATCATTTAACTTCAGTGGATTCATATCAGACATTTGTACCTTTACAAAGATATTATATAACTTCAGCGGCAAAAAAAACTCGACCTGTAATCAGTGTGTGTGTGTGGCTGGTAAGTAACAAAGGACAAAGCTAGCTAGCTTCCTGTTAAGTGAATTATACCTACACCAACTTGTAATCAACTCGCTCATCGTGAACCCTCAATAAGATATCGAAGAATTTCCAGACTAAAAGGAAGACTTTATATTGCTTGTAATAACTGTTATTGTAAATTGTATTGCTGTGTGTAAATTAAAATATATTTGTGTTAAAAAAGAAAAC